CATCTCAGATTATAAGCTCAATCTCACAATCATCTCTCGAGTCCTTGTTGCTTTCGCCCAAGAAAAAACAGAGTCCCGGCTTATTAAGATTCAGGGTCTTGCTCAAGAACCCAATATCTTTCATTTTCTTGATATTTTTCTTTAGTTTTCTTTGGATGTCCAGAGTGTGGCTTGATTTTGATCCCGCTATGCCTTTCTCGCGGAACCCATGTTCGATTTCTCCCGAAAAACTTCCATTTTTGTCAAGGCCACAGGAGGTTACGAATGGTGGAATAATGGGCGAAGTTGATTACAAGGCTGGGTTTTGGGAGCAGCCTGATGGAATGGGGTATAGGCCGTGTTTGGATTTTAGTGGGAGATATAAAGCAGAGAGTGATGGGATTGTGAAGGATAGGAGCAAGTACTTGTTGGTGGTTGTTTCTGGTGGGATTAATCAGCAGAGGAATCAGATTGTCGATGCTGTTGTTATTGCAAGGATTCTTGGGGCTGCTTTGGTTGTGCCCATCTTGCAAGTCAATGTTATCTGGGGTGATGAAAGGTTTCATTTCTTGTTTTCTTTTCTTGACCTCAAAATTTCTGTGTTTTTTTGTGTGTGTGTGTTGTGTGTGTGTGTGTGTTTACTTTTTTCTTTAGCATTAAATGGAAAAATAATCTGGAAGGAGATGCTTAATGAATTGAGCTGCTTCATTTCTTCTGTTTCTTGAATTTTGAGTTTGTCTAGTCTTAATATTTATTTAGGAGTTTTTTCAATACAAGACCGTGGATAAACCATCAAATCGGGGCCTGAAAGATTTTTTTTTTTTTTTCTCATTGGAGACTTGAATGTTATAAAACTATCAAATTATGATGATTCTACAAGTTATGTGGGAGTAATAGGAGTATTGCTTCTTTTTGAATATTTTGATTACAACCCCAGGGAACTCTATCATCCAGTTAGTTGTTTCCAATAGACTCTCCATTATGTAACTTAAGTCAATGGAGAGCATTTTTACATACAGACCTATCATGGCAATTTTAATTTATTTATTTATATGGGAATCAACTAATAAGTGGTAAAGTTTAATTTCCATTTCAGTAAAAGTATCCGGTTTTCTTCTAAATCATCATTTCGAAATATTTACGTTTCTCTTATGATTGTTGCAGTGAATTCTCTGATATATTCGATTTGGATCATTTCAAGAGCGTTTTGGCAAATGATGTACGAATAGTTTCTTCGCTACCTTCGACTCATCTGATGACTCGGCCGGTGGAGGAGAAGAGGACTCCTCTTCATGCGTCTGCCGAGTGGATTCGTTCGCGTTATCTTAAAAGGGTGAGAAGCGAAAAATTGCAGCACTTCATACGTACATTGTCAAGTATAATCATCTGATTCAATTCTTTATGGAAATTGGCAACTAATTAAATGGACCACCAAATGGATATATAAATGCTCTTACACAAACCTAATTTGTTTGAACAAAGTTGGTTGCTTTTGAGGTGAAAATGTATGACTCCAAAGTTCGAGTCTTTATCTAACATTATGCAAACTTTCAGTGGTCACCAAAATCATAAAAAATTAATGAAAATAACTCCGGCTGGCTCGCTGATAATTCTTCATGTTTGTAGATTATATGATTCCCTTGTGTTACCATAGACAATATTTAATGATTCTCTTGTGTTAAATTCATCTGAATAAATATGTAAAGGGAATAAACCTAAAAGATAAAAGATGGTTGGAAGCCTTTTTAAGTAGATTGCCTTTCTTTATAGATGTTTTCTAGTAGCTATAACTGTCAAAATAGAAACTAATCAAAATCTTTCGTCTCCTGCAGATCAAGAGAGATGGCGTACTTTTATTACGTGGTTTAGACTCGAGACTTTCTAAGGATCTTTCTTCAGACCTTCAAAAGCTCCGATGCAAGGTATCTTGATCACCTCTTCTTTATACTTAAAAGATCATTTTTTTTCATTTATTTTTTTTGAACTAAACATATTTCAAATTTTCAGGTTGCCTTCCTTGCTTTGAGATTCGCCCCGCACATCTCAGAACTTGGGAAGAAGCTAACAGAACGAATGAGAAGCAAAGGACCTTATATGGCCCTTCATCTACGAATGGAAAAGGATGTGTGGGTAAGAACAGGATGCCTTCCTGGCCTTACTCCACATTATGATCAAATGATTAACAACGAGCGAAAAGCACGTCCCAAGCTCTTGACTTCAAGATCAAACATGACATATCACGAACGGAAACTTGTTGGCTTATGTCCCTTGAATGCTTTAGAAGTCGCAAGGTGTGAGCTTTTACAATGAGAGAAAATTCAATTTACATTTACACTCCCCACAGTTCCACAGAAAGTAACCAATGCATAACCCAATGTTGGTTGAAAAACATTTGATAAACCCAAATGACATTTAATATGCAATATGACGGTGTTGTAATAGGTTGCTCAAAGCTTTGGGAGCTCCTAAAAGTGCACGGATATATTGGGCTGGCGGGATTCCATTAGGAGGGAAAGAAGCTTTGTTGCCATTGACAAGTGAGTTTCCTTATTTCTACGATAAGAAGGATCTTTCATTGGCAGGGGAGCTGGAGCCATTTGCGAACAAGGCTTCTGTTATGGCAGCCATTGATTACATAGTCTGTGAGGAAAGTGATGTTTTCATGGCATCCCATGGTGGGAATATGGGCCATGCCATCCAGGTATATTAAATTCCCATAAGCAAAAAAAGGGACTTGGTAATAACAAAAGAACACAAAATAAATAAATAAATAAATAAATAAATAATGAAAGCCAAAATTTAAAGTTTTTTGTATTTGTTAATCTGGAAGAGATGGTGATTTTTGTTTTTGTCATTTGAAAACAGGGTGACAGGGCATTTGCAGGGCACAAGAAGACGATTATACCGAACAAAAGACAGATGCTATGGCATTTCATGGACTCAAATTTAACTGAATCAGAGTTCAAGATAATAATGGGTTTGCATCGCGATTCGTTTGGGCAGCCTGAGCTCAGGACAAGCAAAGCCGGGAGGGACGTCACAAAGTATCCTGTACCAGAGTGCATGTGTAATAACACAACCATCACAACTTCTTCCATCTAATCTCAACACACACAAGATATATAAAAATAAATAATTACTTTGAATTTAATATTGGAATAATTAAATATTGTTAGCTAGGGGGGATCAGTAGTATGTATGTATACTGTCTAGTTATGTGTGTTGTTGCCACTGTCTAGTTTTGTAAGTAAGGAGCAAAATATAGGAGATGTGTATAATATGTGTGAACTATATATATCATTTCATTTATTCTTTTATAGTGAATTATATGCTACTGCGATTATGTATAAAACTATGACGAATAGTATTATTTCCATTTTCAATTAACTCTAAAAGACAAACGAAGAAAAATGGGCGACATTTAGTATCAAACTGAAAACATAACAACCACGCTTTTGATTGAACATGTCCACTGCCAGAGGGTAAGAGACGCCCGATATTTTATGTTGCCCGATAGATGTTACAATCGTGACAATGTGGAGTTTATCGGGAAATATGACACGAGAACCGGCGCGTGAGGCTGTAGTACTTTCTCCTTTTGCTTGCTGGGTGATTTGTTTGACTTCGAAGCTTTGGAGTTTTCTGATTTCAAATCAGACACGCGGGAAGACAATGAAGGAGCTTTGAAACAACTAAAGAAACCCATTGTCGAGTGAGTGATCACTTGAAATATGTAATGGGCTTTTATACTGGTTGTATACATTGCATGGTAAGAAAACTTACAAAGGAAGTCGTCTTTTAAGAGGCATTTGTTTAATGGATGGGCTTGATGAGCAAGGAAGGGCTTGTGATTGGTTCAAATATTTATTTCTATTTTATATTTGGCCCCTTCTTTGTCTTGAGTCAAAATGGTGGCTCAATGTTGGTGCTTCTATTTTTGTGCTTTTGACCCGATGCAAAATTAATGTTTGACTTGCACAAAGCAAATGTGATCACATTTATACCCTCTGTTTGACACCCTTCACACTTGTTAATTTTGGTTTTGTTTAACAAAACAAATGGAGCAATATTCGGCCAATTCTAGGACTATCAAGATAAAGCATTTAGCCGATACGTGTAACGGCGTGATTGGATATGAATCTAACCGGTTTTGACTGGATTATTTTAAATTTTAGAAGTTAATTTATATACTTCATTGATTTTATATTAATTTTTTTTTTTTTAAATAGAAAAATAATATGGACAAAGCACAAAATTTGTAAAGATATTATGCACATTATAGAAGCAGGACAATAAATAAATTTATTTTGTATCTATGTCAATCCAAACTTAAGTTATTTATTTGGTATAAAAAAATAGTAATCTTATTCGAGCCACATCACGAAGCAAGATATTTTGTCACATAAGATTACGAAGCGTGGGAAACTGTCACTTAACCTAAGCGCATTCTGAAATTAATATAATATATAAAGGGCATTTTTGTACCTAGTACAATATTCATGTATTACACGTGTGTTGAATTAGAAGCATATACAAAAATATTAAAGCTTTTTCTTTAATAATAAAATAATTTAATATTATATAAAATATCACTTGTATTTTAATTAGAATGTTAAACTATATTATTTTAATCATAATAGTTAAATACCCAAATATAATTTTAGAATTTAGCTGTCAAACTACATTTTTTTATGTTTATATACAATTTTAGAGTTTGGATAATCAATTATTTATTTTTATTAGATAGACAACATGTCAATTAAATGTTAAATAAATACTATTTCCAAAATTAAATATCATATTATTTTATCTTCGATGAGTAGAATATGAATACTGGAGAGAAATGTTTGAGAATTAAATTAATATAATTGATTTAGTAAAATTAATTAATATAATTGATTTAATTAAGGTATAAAATAAAAAAAAAAGTATTATGGCAATAAAAAAGAAAATATAAATATAATAAATATTACTTGTTTCAATGAAAAAAGAATATTTAATATATTATGAAAATAACTATGTCTAATTGACATTTGACATAATACCAAACCTATATATGTATCAATCCGAATTCCGAAGTATATAATTATGACAAATAACACATTCTGAACCATGCTCACCTTTCACTTAATCTCAGCACATTCAGCAAATTATATATAAGGGAACCTACGTCACCCGTTAATTCATTTGCATTTAAACGGTCCCCTGCGTTCAATCGGATGTGGCTCTTTCATTAAAGGGGGGGCCCACTTTAGTGTTAAGGAGATTGAACGCTTGTTCAATCCTTTTCTATTTTTTTTTTTTTTTTTGTTTTAAATATAAAAAGCATGTGCAACATGCTTACTTTTTATTTTGTTTTTTGGTTTTAAAATAAATATTTATTTAACTTTTTTTTTGTTTCTATATTTTATTTATTTTTTTATCTATATCACACTTTCTAATACCGATAAATTCAAATTGTACTATTTTTTCTTGTGTAATCTTAATTTAAATTATTTTGGTCATGTAGTGTTTTTTTTATTTTCATGCATTTAAAATTTATTATTATAATTTAAAAATATTTAATTTTTATTTTTATTGAAAATAGAATATTAAAATTTATATTGAACGAATGGATATAATGAATCCTATATTTGCATTTAAATAAATGTGTAGTGATATGGGTGTGTTTAAATGGAGAGAGAATTAGTGAAAAAATTATGTGTAGATGATGTGGATGAGAGAGAGTGTTACTTTTTGATTGAATGAATGGAAAAAAAATTAATCAATGTGGATGCCCTAGTACTATAGCGTCTATTCATCACTAAATCCCTAATGTAGTCAATTGATTTATTTAAAGTTAATATAAATTATTAATCCACGTAAAATTGATCAATAGTGGTAAGAAACAACTAATTATCTATTTAGAGTTTTTAAATTCATCAAGAGACCATTCTCACAGCAGCAGACAGATCCTTACATCTGTTAGAAGCTGCACAAAAATTACACACCAAAGTCTTACCACAGTTCGTTCAACTTCTCTCCCCACCGCCCCAAAAAATCACAAATTATTGGAAAGAATATATACCACAAAAAGCCCCAGCAAAAAAGTGCACACTCAGTGACCTCAGGAAAACGATACCCTAAATTTACCATGTAACAGAAAAGAACACTTATCCTGAAACCCCATCAAGAAAATGAAGATTTGCCTTTGCCTTTCGCCTTCTGCTTCTTGGAATCCAAAGAAGCCAACCCGGGACCCAGCCCGACTGGGCCTGTTTTCGACTCACCCCCTTCAGTACCATTTTCGACACCGTTTGAAACACTGCACTCAGTTTCCTTCTTCACTGCCCGATTGTCGGCCACCTCCGAGTGTACGATGTACGCCATTTCGTTAACTGCGGAGATGCTTGTCGGTAGGTTCAAGAGACCCTTTGCGTTCCCCTTTTTCTGGACCATTCCAGCAGCCCATGCACGAGATTCGCCGATGCTGTTATCAGAATATGCTTTCAGTGCCGAAGATTTTGAACTGCTTGTCTTGTTGGAAACAGCGGCCGCTTCAATTGCTTGTAACAGGTCAGGATTTGCCTGGGCACACAAATATATAACAATCAGGTGTAAGTGAAATTTAAACTGATAGCTATTTATGGGATGTCAGTGGATGCCGGATGGGACTTGGGCAGGAATTGTAGGATAACTATCAAATTTGAATAAATCAAAAAATAGGACTTGGGTTTTCGAATTTTGACATTATTTACAGACAGAATCCAGTTACAAGAGATTTTTTCTGCATATCCCCTTATTGGTCTGGACGTGCTTGAAAACTACAGCTTCAATAAATGTATTGCGTAGAAATGCGAGAAGGGCGGGTATTCTATAGTTATTGTAAATTAATACACGACCTATAAAAGAAACAGTTGCTTTTTAATCGTAAAATACTGGCTCAAATAGCTATATCAAATAGGAATTGTCTTTATATGATTTCCAACGAGATCAGAAAAGAAGCAGGTTGGAAAGAATACACCGGAATAATTTAAATAGAGTTCCCCGGAGAATAAACTCCGGGAAGGTGAGGGTTGAAATTACATTACTATGATAAAATATGCGAAAGTAGTTAAAATGAATGAACACGTTCAAAAAAAATCTTTTTTTTATTCGAACAAAACACCAACCCGCGTTTGAGTTCAGATTATAATTCTGATTAACGGAAACATATATAAAATGAATATATGTTAAACAAAAAGTTAGAACGGAATGTTCCAAAAGATGATGAGAGGGTTGTTCTTTCTTCTTTTTACTAGTGAATCCTCCAGAGGTGATTTTTCTTTTTCTTTTTCCTCATCCGATTACAAACTTTTCAATACCAGAGAAATGGGTGGACATCAAAACTTAATTAAAGACCTAAAAGAGAGGTATCTATTTAACACTTCTAAACGGACCTCACTTTTACTATTATATTACCAAAAGTGCAAGGTAACATGGTACATAAGCACCTTAAGTATCTCCTCAAAAGCCTTTTGTGCGGAAACAGCTTTCAAGATCTCACCTTTCTGCTTTTGTGCATTATTCTGTCAGTTGAAATAGAAAAGAAATTTAGATCGACTTGGAGGTTAAAACATTTATTACTAGTATTCAGTATCAAATAAATGCCGAGAGCTAGGATAGCTGAATACTTACCTCTTTGATCTTAAACGCCTGCATCCAGTTCTGAGATTCCTTTGTCCTTGAATCGTGCTCACCCAGTTGTTTCACGTAAATATCATATGTTCTTTTCTCGTGCTGCCGCAGTAAACAGTTGTAAAAACGTGCGCGGTGTGATAATAAATTCATATAAAGTATCTGTGTTGCATGCATACCTGGTAAGATAGCTTGTAAGCACCCATACAGTTGAAAGCGATAGCCAAAGCATGATAGCACACTGCAGTTTGAATATGCTCTGCCCCTAACAGTTTTTCATTTTTTTTCAAGGCTTCCTGCAAATATCTAAGTGCAGTGTCCATCTTTTTAATATCTTGATACATCATGGCAACGTTTATATAAGTAGAGGCAACATCAGGGTGATCGGGACCACACGATAGATTTAGAAGAAGCAGAGCGCGTGACATGTGGTGCAACGCCAGCTCGCTCTGATTTAAACCGTGATAAAACAGAGCCATATTTCCATAGCTGCAAAGAAAATGTTCCGTAAGCAAAAATGTAATCTTCAAGCGTGAGATGGCTCTACAAGATTATGATCTCCCACACAATACTTGAATGCTTCCATCAGCAACTTAGATTAACCTTTTTCTAATATATAGATGGATTCTAAAGAACTGGTGAACATAGAAATTCAACGCACTTGGTAAAGTTTGTCATGACAATCAATTTCACTGTTGTTTGATATATATGTATATATATAAAGGGAAAAAAATGATCGGAAGTGAAATAATTTAACCTGTGAGCAGTGTCGGGGTGGTCTAGCCCAAGGCACCGTTCATTTATGATAAGTTCCCTGTGTTGTTGCATAATGGCTCCAGCCATATCTCCAGCATAGTACAAGACCATTGCCAAGTAACTATAATTGTAGTCCATATTCAGTAGTCAGTACGAGTATAAATCATTTCACAGAAATGAAAAGTCCTACATTTCGATGCCTAGCAGTAGCTATAGCATATCGACAAAGTCCAGTATCATCCAAAATATACAAGTAAAACATCTGTAAATTACATCACATAGTATACTTACCGGCAACAATTTGCGACCTCCCGATGTATTGGACCAGTGACCTGCAATATATTTTTTAATCAGTTGTATTTCCTATATATATAAAGCCAACGGAACATGTAAGGCTAAGCACCATTTTATCCCCACCTGCTGGAATAATGCGAAAGCTTCAGAAAATAATGTGTATGCCTCATTGAGCATTCCCTGAGAGCAATAAAAATAAATTAAGAGGAAGTTACAGAACAGCTTCCATAAGAATCTATGATCTATTTAGGAGAAAGTTCTGATGCAGAATGTGTTGGCCTGTATCATGTAGAACAATGAGACAAAACACATGATGCTGGTTACATTCAAGTTTTATAGCATATGGGAATACGAGTGAATGAATTATGACAGATCAATAAGACAAACCAATAAGCTTCGCTGATACTTCGGTTATCCTGTAGATTAATACCACTATTACTATCATCAAAGACCAACACCATCATGAAGATATGAATATGATAACAGATTTACCAGACCGGGTTAAAGTTCACTAGTCTAATTTAAATTTCCTCATCATGTGGCAAAATAATCATACCTCTGCTAATTGAGCTTTCCCAGTTTCAACCAGATCCTTGGCTTCCGAACATACTGGAATTGAATGCTTCACCACCGGTTGGATATTCAATATGTCTGAAACTCCAAAAGGAGCCAAAGCATCAAAATCATAGTGGCGAGAAGCAATGGCGATTCCAATCTGTTAATAAGATAAATAATTGCATGAGTAAATAAAAAGGGAAAGTATATTATTAACAAAAAAAAGTATATTCAACATAAGTGTAAGTGGTTCTGCTATTGTATTGATCGCTTATTTAGTTTGATGGAGAACATGTTCTTTTCAAAGCATTCTCCAACATAACATGAAATTTTCTACAGAATAATCATCCTAATACATCACATAGAGTGCAGTCAATCAGAACAAATAGCAAACAGACAGACAGTAGAAGGGCATGGTCCTTTATCAACCATTTTGGTTCGAGAAAAAATTAAACTGGTCGGTCATTCTATTTTAACAGAAATAGAAGACTACCTTCTGGCAAAGATTACGTATAACTGAAATTTTTTTCACCCCTTGCCTTGCATCTTCTGGCAACTCAAACTGCAGAAGGAATATCTTGAGAAAGTAAAATACGAGTTATACAGAGCCTGTTTGGAAAAGTTCAATTGAAAACCAAGAAACCTGGTATTTGAGTTTTGCAAATTCTTGGATGTCAGACCACAAACTATCAGTGGTAAAACTCAAATAAACAGACTCTTTCTTCCTTAAATATCCCCCATTTTTCAACTTAGCTTGTCCCTTAGGAGACTTCCTGGAAGCATGATGGCCTGAATGATCCTGTATAATAATAAAATATGTAGGTTTCAGGGTTGATAGAAACAGAAAATGTCAATCCAAAATGCAAAAATATAGGTAAAGCCCATGACTCATTTTAGCTTCTTCCAAATTTTACATCATTATGTGTTGACATACTCAAATCACTATTATTATCTTCTCTTCAGAGTAAGAAAAATTTCCAGATCAAGCAGCAAATATTGACATGGGATACTAGGTTCCAAGGACAAAAACTGTTCCACGCCAATTTATACACCTTTTTCTGGGATTTTGATGAACTGTTTCCAATGCCTGTTCCAGAGACAGATTGAACCTTCCCAACAAAACAGTTGAAAAAATGTGAAATTGCAAGCCCCAAATCATAGTCCTCTGTATCCCTTAAAAGACCCTGCACGTAGATTTAGGACTCCTTCACATGAGCATAAAATGAGAGGTTGGAGGCATAAATAAGCGGAAACTCATACAAAGGTCACAGGATAAACCATTTTGCGGATTGTTCGATCCACAATTTTGTTTCACAACTAAAAGAGAAACACCATGAAGCTAGCACGAATTTAGAACATAAAATCAAAAGTTTATTTCAGAGAGATGCAAAAAAACTTTGAGAAAACTGAAGGCAAAAGATAATGAGATTTCCGTAAGTTGGCTGCCAAATGAGTAAAAAACAAATAACAGAAGCTTAACAATGTTCATCCCATGACCAACAAAAGACTAATATGAATTAAAAGTGAATAAATTATGAGTTTCGAGGCAACTAGAACAAGAAGATAACCTAATAGCAAACACATCATAATTACAGGAGAATCAATATCATAACTTGTATACTTACAATGTCACTTCATCTTATGCGCAATTGAGTTCACAACTATACCATAATATTAGTATATGAAAAATAGTTGTGCCTTCTATCAGAGATAGGGGTGTAAATGAGTCGAATTGAACCGACATAATACTGTTCAAGAATGTTAAAAAATTTATCAATCTTTCACAATAATATTTGCGCTTATTAGGTTTCTTACTCTAGCCTAACTCAAAAGAGCTTTAGTCAAATCGAGATCGAAAGGTTTCATATATCTACATATATTTTTTTTCTTACTTATCGAAAGTAAATTTCAAGCAGAGATTTGAATTTTGTTAAACATAAAACATTTTCAAACTTGTTTGAAAACCATGTCGAAACAGAACTCAGACAAGCTTTAACGAACGACTGACAGTCAAATATCAATTGTAGATTGGTTAGATTTTCAGCCCTAATTAGATATGACTATTATCATCATCACTGTCTATGATGTTCAACAACTCAAATTGAGACTAAGATTACACTTCGAACTGATATAGTTTAGTGTTCACACACACACACACACACACAATTATATATACAAGTTACGATGAGAGTTTGTACAAGTTATGATGTGCTTTCCATATATATCATCTAGTTAAGTTACGGTTTGAATCCCTTCCAAACTATCATCGAAAGAAAAAATAATAATAATAATAATACGGGTCCTAGATTCTAAGATAGGACTAAGATGTAAAAACAATACAAAATAATATTCTAGACCTGAGAATGCAATCACAAAAAGAAAATAACGTGCCTTCAAATTCACACTTTTCAATTTCATCAAAAGAATAAAAGCAGTTGAATTAACGACCTATGTTAGTGTCAATTTTATAATAGCTAACCACAAGTTCTTTAAAAATTAAGTATTGCAGTTTGTGGATAATGAACATTAATCCTTTTAAAAAGATTTTGTTTTAAAACTACAGCACGTTCTGTAGTTTGTGTACTTTTGTACTTTGTGGAGATCTTAGACTTAGTATGAGTTTAGAGTTGATGTTCTAGACTTCTCTCGCTTCAGTGATGAAGAGTTGGACGAGGTAACAAATCTGGAATGAGTCGTTACAGTTGTTCTATTCCTCTTTTTGTAACAACTTTCCATCTAATATATTATTACCTTCAGGGCTTCGCAAAAGTTATTTTATGCTTTGTGCAAATAATTTAGATCTTCTTATGTCCTGCTTTTAATAATTCGTGCTTGAATTTCCTTGGGCCTGTACATAGGTTTGTCGAGTTTTTTCACTTTTTGGACTTCATTAACGTTTCTTCTTAAGTAGATTGTAGTCTTGCAATATCTCACATCACACTACAGAATTTTCAGAATGGGTTATTTGCTCTAACCTTTTTGTGTTTCGTAATTTTATCCCAATCTTTGGGTAATTGCAATATAATCTCGACCTCAATTTACTTATTGCAAATTTGGGAGGAGAGTGATTGATTTTAGGGATTTGTGGATCGATTTTGTGTCCAAGTCTTCTATTGAAACGGGTTTTTATGCCATCCACGTAGCAAGTTGACAATTTCCACATATTTAATGTATCACGTCAATGTAAACTACCGGTGATGAGTCTCCTCCTAGATCTGGAGTGAACCGGTAAATATGAGCTCCGATCTGTTCGGACCGCCTTCAAATCGACAGTTTTTTGAAGGTCCAACCGGTTTTAGGTTCGACTTGTAAATTGAGGTCGAGATTATATTGCAATTACCCAAAGATTAGGATAAAATTGTCTAACGCAAAAAGGTTAAGGTTTATTTAGCAATTAACCCTTTCAGAATTTGGTACCTAAATTTGTCTTTCAAATCTAGATGCTCAAAATACTTTTTGCTAAAGGTAATAAAGATTGAAAACCTACAGGATGCTCAAGATGCATAATAATCATTAAGAGCACAACTGCCAGTTACCTTAAAAACATGCTTAGCAGAGCGGACAACTATTTCATTGGAACAAAGATCCCATAAGTGAGGCATATGTCGAACCCCTTCAGAAACCTACAGATTTTCGACCCAAAGTGCACAAACCTGAGATTCAAGTTCAAGGTACACAAAAATCTAACTGAACAGTGCTACAAAACTAAAAAAGTTTCTTACTTTTCCAATATATCGAACATTAATGCCATGTGCATGGAGTGCTTCGGTTAAAGTTTGTCCATCCATTGGTGAAACATCAAGGGCGCACAAATCTTGTATGAATTTAGGCAGTACAACATCTGTAAGATACAGACTTGCTTTCCTCACATCTTCCTCGTCCGCAGAAATTTCCTGTTATACATTGCTTTGCAAATTTCAACAAGCACTTACTGGAAAGTATTAGGTTGACAGAATGGGAAAGGTTAAGTATGCTACCTCTTCACTCCCAGCTAACTTAAATTCGGTAAAAACATTAGGATTGAAGAATATCTGTTTTCTTGAAGCTTTATTGCTTGAGTGAGAATCACATTCTTCAAGGCTCTGCTTCCCACTATTTTCATCATCCTGCAGAAATCATATGCAATATTAATTGAACTAGGTCAAGCAACATTTAGACCTGATAATATCTATGTGAATCCTTATATCACAGAAGCTAATTTTTTAAATCCAAAAAAAAAACTTGGATCAGAGGCTAAAAATCTCTAAACAAAGAAGTTCAAATCAATTACAAATGTCGAGTCCGGAGTATTTTATAACTCAAAGAATGTGATACTAGTATGGTGCACAACGTAATGATTAATAAAGGCAAAACTAATCATAATCCTGCAATCTTCACTCCGCGTTAAACTGTTTCTTGCAGGTCTAGTAGATTTTCATCTTTTGTTAGGATGAAACTCTAGCTTGTCTTCTCATTTTAGTGAAAAGCAAACCATTGTTACATGGCATATCAACAAATTTATCTACACTATCGAACTTCAATTAATGCATGGATGCTTTACACATTTTTTTTTTTTAAAAAAGCAAAGAAGATAAAAGCAGACTGGGAATAACAATCCAACATATTTGAGTAAATATTTGAAAGTCAATATTAAAAGAAGCTATCCTCAGGACAAGTGGGTGAGGGGCAGAAACATACCGGTGTGTTACATGCTTCTGATGCTGCATGCTCCTCAGTTTTCTCCACTTTTCCTGCACTGCTGACATCCAAAGAATCAGAAACAGAATTGTCCTCGAGTTCAGTACCGCAGTTCGACATCTTTGCAGCTTCAGCTTTTTCATGCTGAAAAAAGAGAGTGGAAAACAAAAGAATGTTTAAGATTTGGCCTTTAAATATGGTTTAGTAATAAAACTGATTTTGGGGAACTGAATCTTACATGGCAATAACCATATATGAGTTCAGGTCTCAAAATGCAGAATCTGGAGTTCGGTCCAGTATAGTTTGCATCACGAGGAGTGACTCTCATCAAATCCAGAAGATAATGTCTGGTCACAAACAAAAAAAATAAAACCCATAAGAAATGATTAACAAATCAGAAGAATGGGGTCGGAAAAATACACAATTACATCGATAATAAATCCTACTAGGACAGGAATAGGACACCCAAATAATAAAAAGAAATAATACTAATGAAATAAAACAAAATTCCATCCCACAATGATAGCCTTATAACATTCCAAGCAGATTAAGAAAACAGAATCATTATTGTTGGGAAGAAAAAATGTCTCTAAATTATCTATTATTTTATATGATGACTTCATTTTATCGTCTGGTTCATTGATTAAAATAGGGTAAATTACTTTTTGACATCCGAACTATTGCGATTTTCGCGGCTTACCATATCAACTATTTTTTTTGGCAAACAGCCATACGAACTCCACGTGTTCTTCATCTTGCCCCCTAAACCGGATATGAAGT